TTCCTCTACTATTTTATATTAGTTTAACACAAATATGCAAATTTTTAGTATCGAAAGGGTTGTGGAGAAAGACTGCAATATTACATTTACAGAGTAGAATAAGAAATAAACTCAAATAAATGTTATATAAAAGATTAGATATATATACTACTTTAAGAATAAAATATAATATAAAATTAATGATAGAATAAATATAAAGAAAATAATCAAAATATAATAAGTAAATACATTTTATTAGATGTATGTAATTGAAAAGTTCATTGATAAATTATTAGATGGGAACTATTTTTGTGATATTTTTCAACAAAATAAACAAAGAACTTGTTGACATTATGCACATTTAACAAATCAAAGATTTTGGCAATTATTCTCAACACAATTTAAACTGTCAGATTTTAAAAAGAAAAACAAACTTGTTTTACATTTAAAAATTCAGATTTTTCATGTTTGAGTCCAGAAGCAAACCATGCATATTTAATGAAATTGTTAGATATTGGTGCAGATAGTTGATGATGAAAAATTGAATATAATTTTATTATACATTTCTAGTTGTCCAAAACAATTTCATTGAAGAGTCATTACAAAATAATTGTATAGCATTTAAAATTTCTTTAGCTAAAAGTTTTATTTGTCTATGAAATCCAACATCTAAAGGTTGGCATATAAATGTACACTTTGGTGGAATAATTAGTACTTCACATGAATTTTGATTTATAGATGTTTGAAATACTGTATTATAAATATTAGTATTTGTTTGTCCACTCCAAGACTCAATTATTAATAATGAGTTTTCTGTTATATTTGGAGATAATACATCTTTTACATAGTTTGTAATAATTGCTGTAGATAACTTGCCAGATGAGCTAGCTGTAACAGTAATGTTTGGGGCAACCTTTAAACAGCAACCTTTTAACTCTAGGTCCAAAGGTTCCATGAGCCACTTGTAAGCAAATAAATACATTACCTACAACTTGTCCAGAGTTGTTATAGTTACATTAGAGAGTATTATATTATAGTTCACCAAATTTAAAACTAGCCAATGTCAAAAATAGCTGGTTTTCTAGTACAGTAATTCCATATTTCTGGAACCTGAATAATTGGTTTGTTACAGTATTTTTTTAAGTTATAAATACAGTTATATTACCAAAATTAAAATATTGCAAATATAAAAAATGTTCTATATTCAAATTTAAATAAACTTGATTTATAATTTCTAGCAAAGAAGTTTGAATCTACTATATGTATAATGTATTTGAACAACACACAGAAAGAAACATAGAACATACAACACACAAAAGAAAATAGAATAGTGTAAAATTAAGTCATGTATTTTTAAAAAATTGATCAAGTTTTTTTTAATGGACTTGTCACATACTGAGGAGGTATGTGACATCTGTTGTCTCCTGCTGAAACTCTAGTCATGTGAAAGATTGAAGTCATTCTAAAGGTTAGCTTACAATGGCAGAAAATAGCAAAAATGATTGAGAAACCAGAAAGCAGTTTTTATTTGTTTAGTGAAATTGGTTCACACTACAAAATGTGGAAAGTAAAACTTCCAAAAAAAGTTACTAAACAGAAAAATTTGTCAGAAAAAGCATCACATATTACATATTATTTGCTCTGTTTTTTGTATGTGCTGTCAGTGGACTAACCCGAAGTGGATACATAATTCACTTTCTCACTTTTTGTAATAATTGCTATAAATTTTTCCACTTCAAAGTTTACAAGGAAAAAGTGCTCTAGAGTATAGAAAAACATAATGCATAAGTGGAAATTGTATAACTGAAATGTTTTATAATGGAGAAAATATCCTGCAGAAAATATTTTATGTATAATTGCAAAAAATTTACAACTGAGAAATGTATAAATTGGGTTCCACCCTGTATTAAAAATTTTATGCGATGTAACTTTAACTGATGTGGACAAATGTCTACTTGGATAAATCAGAAATGTAATTCATTATTTTAAAAATTAGTGATTTCATGAGGAATGAAGAAAATGTTATGTATCGAGAGGAGAATCCTTTATTATATTCATGACTAACAAAATAATCTAGTAAAATTTGTGTGTGCACGCAAATACATAGATTATATGTTGGTATATATAATATAGATATATAAGTGGTACCTTGTACTTTGAACGCTTCAGAGTTTAAATGCTAAATTCCACAAAAATTTGCTTTTATGTTTGAATGATTGTTCAAAGTTCAAACTGCACATAGTGAGATATGCACTTGGTGACTAAGTGAACTAAGTGAAAATGCAATCTGTTGTGTGCCCAAGTCCTCTCTTGCATTATGCTTGTAAGTTTTCAGTGCGTTTTGCTTTATTTTTGTGTTTGGTTATATATATTTGTATAATTTGTCAATTTTTAAGTTTTTTTTTCCTTTGGTTAAAATTTCTTGACTGGAACTTTTCAACCACATTTGACATGTTCAAAGTTTAGGAGCATCTTCCCAATACACACTATGAATTTTTTTTACTGTTTGTGTAACTTTATATTCTTTCTGAAACTCATAAAGCATAATATGCTTTTTATCTGAATACATTTCACAACTGTTATAATTAAGTCACACATCTATGTTAAGTAAGGACAGCTGTTAAAAATAGGCAAAAGCTTGCTGTTCAACTCACCCTTTACTTATTATTACTTATAACCTTTACTTATTAACCATGACATCTAAGAAGTATGTGGAAATGATGAAGTCTAAGAGGAAGATGATAATATTGATGATTGAGGTGAAAAAGGAACTTATTGTGAAGTATGAAAGTTGTATAGATATGGCAGATATGAAGCCATGTTAAGATGCCAAAGTCAATGATATGCAACCAGTAAATGCGGTTTTCATTTGATTATACGGCAGGGGTGGCCAACCTTTTGCATACCATGCGCCAATTTTTTGATAGACGAGTTCAGATGCGCAGTGGCGTACCGTGGGTGTTAGCCGCCCGGGGCGGAGAAAAATTTCGGCCACCCTTTAATCAGGTATTTCAATTTAAAAGATCAAAATTCNAATTTCATATATGTATATTAACTTTTGATTTTTTTCATTCCTCAAGTTTTCAAAAATATTTTTAAAAATCTTCAATGGAATTTTATTCTTAATTTCTCTCTCTGCTCTATATCATTTTAACATATCCATATCCTTATCAATCTTTTCTTTTTCATTCATTTGTAATTTTGTTCAAAATCAATGATATATTGTGGCCAAAACTTAGCCTTTTTCTTATATATATATGACTTATTTGTTTAGATCGCTCAGAACTGACTAAAGCGCCACTTGTAATCGTCCAATGCGCCAAGTTTGGCGCATGCGCCACGGTTTGGCCACCCCTGTTATACGGTATTTTATTTGTTTTTGTGTTTTAATTTATTACTAGAATAATTAATTAATTTTCATTTAACTGTGATATTTTAACTTAAATTATGCACATTTGATGTTTAAGTTTATCAAAATGGGCATTGTTTAGGATTGAGGAATGGATTTATTTGTTTTCCATTATTTCTATTGGGAAAAATTGATTTGAATGATCGCCTAGAATGAATTATATTTGAAGTATGATGTCCCACTGTATACTTTTAATATTGTGTTATATTATATGAAATGTGTTTTAAAGCTTAAAAACTCATCTTCAATAACACCAAAAATATTTTGTTGCTACTATGGAAGCTCAATAAAATTATTTTTGATATTCTAAAGATGAGTTTTTAAACTTGAAAGCACTTGAACATTTATTTAGTATTGTCTATTTATTTAGTACTCTACTAAAAACATTATATAATTATTTTATAATATAGCCTAATAGAGTTTACTTTAATTTTAGTATGTATTTGTATCATAACAAATGTATTAACTAAGTATTAAAAAAAACATTAAATTAACATACAAAAACTAATTATGTTTACATGGTAAAATAATATATTAAATGTACATATTCCATTTTATTGCTTTGTTAGTTATTAATTATTATGATTTATTAAAGATTTTAACTTAATTAATAATTAATATAATCCATAGAATTGTGGTTTGTAAACTTAATTTTGGTTTTGTTTATCAAATGAATGCTAAGAAACTATGAAGAAAATACTATCAATTTACTTACATTTTGTTAAACATCTCACTGATTTAACATTGCTGTTGGATTCATCTTTATCTAGTAACTGCTTTATCACTTATGTTTTTAACTAAATTAAAATTCAAGGTTAATTATAAAGACTGCAGTAAAGAAAAAAAAAATCTTAATTTCAGCCTTATACATATATAATGCTGAAATTAAGATTATATATATATATATATATATAATGATTGGTCATTTTCAATATTTCAGCTATTATCAAATATGTAAAGTTAGGTTTCATTAGGCTGTCTTTTGACTAGACATTATGTTCTATCTTAATGACTAGCCAAAAGATGGTGTGATGAAATCCTGCTTTTTAGATATAGATACTTTTGTAATTTTTATAGAATTGGACTTGATTTTTGTTATAGCTTCAGCTATTATATAAAAAACATTAATTTATGACTACTAAATATACATATATGTATATAGTTTGTGTATGTGTGTGTAATTTATTTTTACATACATATATAATATATACAGTTGAATCTGATTAATTTGAATTATTGGATAATTTGAAGCTAGTATATATCATATTTTGAAAATGAAATTCGAAAAGAAAGCTAGATAATGGAATTATTTGGCTTTGGTTTTTTATTTAAGTATGGAATGCATACATCTATTGAAAGTTGAAATGATTAAGGAAGTGGAAAAGAGAGAAACTGATATAGCCAAAGAATATAGAATACTGCCAATCACTAAAACTTGAAAGAAATTAGTTTAATTTAAAAAAAAAACAAATAATTCAAAATTTTTCAGATCTTAATTTGAACACCGGAAAAAAATTGATTGTGTGTATATTTAAGTAGAATGATTTAAATTGTTTTCAATAAAGAAAGTGTGTAAGTGCAAAAATTTATTTGAAATTCACTTGTTTACCAGGTACTAATATAACCACTGCAGAAGAAGTAGCAATTAAGCTAGAATGCATCAAAACAAAGCATCCGCAATTACATATAGAAAGCAAATTTTACAAGATGATGCAAGGAGGAGGTAATAATTTCAATATTTATAAAACTTTCATAATTATTTATAAATTTATTTCATAAATATATATTACTATAGTTGGCATTCCTATTATAAAATGGTGTGGATCAGAAGGTGATTATAATGTCATGGTAATGGAATTACTTGGACCCAGCCTTGAAGATCTGTTTAACTTCTGTAATCGCAAATTCAGTCTTAAAACAGTACTACTATTAGCTGATCAATTGGTAAGTGCTTTGCTTAATCTGTGTGAATGAAGTCTAATACATTAGCCAAGCCTAAATATTATATTGAAGCTGAAGCATTTTCATTTTACAATTCAATTTTAGCTTGATTTGCGACAATCATTTTTAGTATTAAAATGAATGTATTTTAAAATTAACAGGAAATACATAGAAAATTTAAATATTTTTGACTCTTTCACATGCAATGAACTATTAAACAAACAGTTTGGTTCTATGAGTCATTGATTTAGATCTTTTTGTTGATTTAGCTCCATCTTCAGTATCAACTATAAAAACAATACTCAAGTGAAAATAAACTAAATATATGTTTTTAAACGACAATAATAAAATTATTACATAAATGGTTTGAATTCTCCATACACTAATTTAAACAAAAAAATATTTTAAAGAGAACATTTCACTAGTTCATATTAAAAGCAATATGAATAAAACATCAAAATTTATTAAAATGTTTATATCTAATTGAATTAACATTTATCATAATTCTCATTTTTTATTGCTCTTGTATCTATTTTCATTTATAATTAGTTTCCTTACTTTATTATTTTCTCAAATGATGTAATACCAAGGAGAGTAATGGCCCACAGGTCCATTAATAATCAAATTGTATGTTCAAAAATCGTTGTTTGTAAATCATCCGCTAATTTTGTCTGATCTCTTGTTTTCAATTTTTGCCTCAAACTTCTTTCTCCTATATTATTATTTTCACATCTTTTTGTAACTCTTATTCATCCAAAACTCATATTTGTTTCCTGTTTATATGTTAATTTGTTCTTCTAGTTTGTTATACTGATCTGTAAGGATGAAATAAAAGTTTTGAACAAAGTATAAAATAGAGAACATACATAGTATGCATAAATCCTGTATATTTATCTATTATTGTTGATTTTTCTACTTTGTCCAAAACTTTAATTTCATATATGTATATTAACTTTTGATTTTTTTCATTCCTCAAGTTTTCAAAAATATTTTTAAAAATCTTCAATGGAATTTTATTCTTAATTTCTCTCTCTGCTCTATATCATTTTAACATATCCATATCCTTATCAATCTTTTCTTTTTCATTTGTAATTTTGTTCAAAATCAATGATATATTGTGGCCAAAACTTAGCCTTTTTCTTATATATATATGACTTATTTGTTTAGATCATATTAGTTTATTCTATATAATCCAGTTATTGTTAACAAAAATCAGAAAGTAGCTATTCTACACCATTGACTTCTGATGGCTGTTTGCAGGTATGAATATTTTTCTGTATGTCTTGGTCTTAATTATTCCTGCTTTTATTTCCATATTATAATCGAAATAGGTAATCTCTTGTTTATTCTGATATAATTTGAACTGTAACTTGTGTTGGTTTATTCTATGGCTGCTATTCTATTCTGACTGTTCAGATATCTCTCCTAAATTTCAGATAATCTGTATATTTTCCACATATCTTCAGATTCCTATTAAATACTGTCATATTTCCTGTTGATAGCATGAAAATTTTGAAAATAATTATAAAAACAGATTTTTAAACTTATCAAAAATATTTAATTTATATAATTAATTTGTTTTTCAATTCTTTAATATTGTGCATATGACAGTATCCCCATACATTGATATTGCCATTTGAACACATGTATTTGGTTGCAGGTTTGCATCTTGCCATGGAGTTTCCACTGCTTTCTTCACATGTCTAATACCTAAATAGGGGCAAGTTTCCCACACAAAATCCTCTATGGTGCACTATACCTGGACATCTTGACCATTAGCTGCATTGCCTTATATCACCAAACCAAACTAAATCCACATACAAGTTCTGAAAACCACTATCACTATTTGTTTCTTGATAATTGTGTAAGAAATTTGTAAAATCCATGGTGAAAGTAGCCTGAAGTCAGTGCAAAATAACACATGAAATTTTTTGACTTTGCTAATTCTTTTTCCATGTGCAATTTAAATGTATAAAATTTTTGATAGGATGTAGTTGATAAAACTTGGTTCTTGGTTGAACAAGAATTTCCATCTACTTTGGTATTAAATTTTCTTAAACATTTTATGAGAAAAGTTTATTTGTTTCTTATGGGAAATTAGGTTTTCTTGTATGAAAAGTCTAATGCAAGAACTTAACTAAATTCTGCTTTATATAATTTCTTATAAAACAAAACTAAATCATTTAATAGAGTTTAGTTTATGATTGAAATTTGTGGTTTATTAGGTATATTTAACTTCTACTAATTTTATAATAAATAAGAATCATAAAACAACAGAAGGCTTTGAATTTACAAGTCGAATTTAAAAGGTGTTTTTAATACAAGTACTTATTATTCTACATGAAATAGGATTACAAAATATTGAAAATATTTTTAGTCTGAGAATTAGAAACATTGTTTATTTAAACTCAGTTGAATAATGTTTGACTAAAAGAATTAAATATTTTTCAATATTTAAAGTTTTCCTGCCAGAATATTGGGAATTATTAGACTGTAAGTTATAATTTCATGATTTTACAGTTGACCAGAGGTTTGAGATATGTCTAGCATTATTTGTGAAATACATTTTCTGGAAATTAATGATTTCTCAGACACTGTAGCTGACTTGAGAAATTGTTAATTTCTGAGAGATTCTAGTTCTTTCTAGACATTGTAAAGAAAAACTATTAACTATGCAGCTGAAGTTCTTTCCAGCCAGCACATCACATTTGCAGTCAAGAGATCAAAGTGTTTTGTGCATTCAAGAAACATTGGAAGAAACCAATTGTATTCTCTGGTTGCAAAAATGGATAAAATGACATTGGTCTACAAATTAGCTAATACTGTCATAGTTAATGATTCCCTAAACTGGATTAAGAGCACATGAAATGAAGTGAAACCTGAAAATATCAAAATGTGCTTTATAAAAGGTGGTTTTGTTATTGAATACTGTGAATGGCAATAATATGATGGATGTACTGTATTTGAGATAGAGGCTGCTGCTGTCAATGAACTTGTTGAGTCTGTCATAATAAGTGTTGACATGGTTGGAATTGATGAGAAGATTGAGTGTTTAAACATATAACAATTGGATTAATACTGTAGCTGAAAGTGACACTGAAACTGTGGATAATATTCAGATGAATAACCAAGAATGTTTTTTGCTAGTGGAACAATTGAACTTGTGAGATACACTTTTAAGCATTGTACAGCACAAATCACTTGCCAGAGAACTTGGCAGTAATTCATTTATAGAATTATTAAATAGAGAAATAATATGAAAATGTGACCAATGTATGAAAATAAAACAAATGTTAATATCAAGTTATTTCAAACTGACATGATAGGAAATACAGTAAGTGATGCACTGCATAATATAACAATCTTAAAATAAACACAAGTTTTTAAACTTTTTCATAACTAGTTTTTAATAATAACACTATTGTATAGTATGTTGCATGCTTATACCATTACACTCCATTACACTAAGTGTACAGCATACTATGTTTCTATGCTCTTCCTGACAAAGCAAATTTCTTTAAGGTAACCACCCTTCAGACAACTCTTTTTTGTGACAATTTTTTGATGGTCAGTTTAAGAGTTTCACTGTAATTATTTTCTGTGCTTGATAATGCATATTCAATTTCAGATGATGTAGTTATAGGAATAATGATATAACAGTGTTTGTAGCTGTAATTTAAATCTATATAATTAAATAAAAATTTTCCATATACAGTGGGTGATTGGATAACAAATACCTCACAGAACAAACACAAGAAGAAGCGACATAAAATAATGAATACTGATTGGTCTTCTCTTGTCTTCATGCAACAATTCGAAACTTTTCAGTGTGTGGGAGGCATCGACATTGATGCTCAAACCAGTATATACTGATCGGATAGTATTCCTCCGAATTTTGAAACTCTCCCTTGTAATTCCAACCTTTTTATTTTTCTGACAGAAAGAATTTTTTTTATAGTATTCGCTCGAGCGGGCACTCATTAAGTTTTGCGTCAGTTTTTATTTTCAAAGAATGAGAGTATAATAGCAAAGACAGAGTGGGCAGAAGATGTCTGATGTTGCTGGGCAGTATGGTTTGAACAGTAGGCTGCAGTCCAATCTTATCTAAGAAAGATACAGTATAATCAAAAAGACTCAAGCAGCTAACAGAGTAACAAAAATCACATCTAAGAAATAAAGAACATTGAAGAGCTCATAATGGAATCTGATAACAAGAATGCCAAGAACTTTTGAATGAAAAACACCAAGAAACTTGGCAAGATATGTTTTCTTCTGAAAAAGAGGATTAATGCTGATATCTGCTATTAAACAACTTTTGAAGAAGTGGAAGGATGTCAGAACAACAGTCTTAGAATGGCATCCAAATCAGGTTAAGATTAATAGGCTTGGGATCTCTACAATGACAATGCTATTAATTATTTCTGAAAAATCCTGACGAGAGAAAAGCAATCGACATTGGATAGATTCTTTAACACCCACAAATGGAAAAAAACATGATTGATAAAATGCAAGACTGTGTATATATGTATTTTTATTATTTTAATACATATAAATAAATGTAGTAAGAAAGTATATAATTTTTTATTTTTGGAGATCTCCAGAATGGAATTCCCATAAAAATCTATGATAAATTGATAATCAGTTAATGAACAATTCGGATAGCAACACAGTCTTGGAACGGATTATATTCATTAAACTCCTTAAGCCCATAACCCGAGATATCTCGGGCTGATCACCCACTGTATAATTGCTGTATGGATTGTTTCTATGTATATTACACTCGTACTTTTTCACTCATTTTTATTTATTATAGTGTGTGTATATTTTTTACTTTTGAATTTATCAAATTTACATTAATATTAAAACTTTTTACTACTGTATATTAGATCTGATGTAATCAGATAATGGTCTTTATCATATTTGAATTAGCTGATTGATGATCTAATGTAAGAACAAAAATGTTTCTATTAAAATTTTTGCTTTGGTTTCCGGAAATAAGCACATTTATTGACTTCTAAATATTGTGGTATCAAGTTATTGTTCAAGTTTAAACCAAATTCTATTAAATGTATATGGGGATTTGATTTATTGACAATTTTGAGTATAGATAATTTAAAAATTTTTGAATAATTAAAATATAAGGAAGTTTCAACCAGATAGCAGGTCAACCAGATAAGAATTACATTATCAGTATGTCAAACCTAAGTTATAATCATTGGTTATCATTTGTTTTTAGCAATGAATATGTGAAATACTTTAAAAGAAATTATTACAAACTATCTCTGATCCTAATAGCTGAATTATTAAAATAAATTAGCTTTCCTAGTCTACTGAATTATATTTGCATTTGAATTGGAGGTAGTATTTTATGTTAATTTTACAATGCATAATTAAAGTCCTGTTTCATGTCATATAATAATATTAATAAAAAGTTTAATATCTCTTTTAAAATAGATTGAAATATGATTTAACACATTAAATAGTTTTTTTAAGTAGAAATTAAAATGATATTTTTATTTCTTTCATTTGTATTGTTGTTAGAAATATGAGATTAAGGAAATTACCATCTGGTTAAATCTGTATTTTGCTAAAATTTGTGTATTCATACATAAACAGTACATAAGCCTGATTTTTTTTAAGTAATTCAAAACAATCTGTTTTATTATTGGACTAATACAATAATTAGATGTAATTTGACTAGAGGTAGGGGTAGGCTGCCATCTTGTGATAATTTTAATAATTGTGATAAATTAATTTTAATTTAAAATTCTGGAAGAGAAGAATTAGCCTAGAGCAGAACTTGAACCCACAACTCCTTACCGTGCAGATCCATTACCAATTAAACTATCGAGACCTCTGTTAAATCTTGCTTCTAGAACTATTAATTTAGATAACTAACCATACTTGGTCATTCATGGTACCAACTGGGGATGACTTTAGTGCTCTGTGGCTCTCAGCAAGTTATTGCTTTCACATTGGCAGGTCAAATCATTTTACATCTAATTATTGAATTTGCCTTATTGTAGCCAGATAACATGGCAGATCATTTGGCATTTGTGCATTCAGTTATCTTCAAAATTTGAAGATACTTCTCATTATTAAAAGTAGTTGAAAAATAATTATTATTTATCTTAATGATTAGTAATTTAGAATTAAATTGATGAATTTTATTTAAATATGCTTACTAAATAACTTTATTTTTGTTTCAGATTAGTCGTATTGAATATATTCATAGTAAGAATTTTATCCATAGAGACATAAAGCCTGATAATTTTCTGATGGGCTTAGGTAAAAAAGGAAATCTGGTGTATATAATAGATTTTGGATTAGCAAAAAAATACCGCGACTCTCGGACTCACCAACATATACCATACAGAGAGAATAAAAATCTTACGGGAACAGCAAGATATGCCAGCATAAATACTCACTTAGGAATAGGTAAGAATAATTCAACTTTCTATTTGTTTTTTTAATGGTTAAAATTTTAATTACAGATTTTTTAGAAAACTGAATTTCAGTCCCTCAGTCAAAATATTTATTTCAGCTTGACTGAAGTACTGAAATAATCCAAAAGAAGTATATTAAAGTAATTCTTTTTGGTAACATAATACAGAACAAGTCAAAAGTTTTTCCTTCTCTTAGATATAAAAAAAAAATGACATTTTATGCAATACGGTACAGAATTGTCTGTTATAAAAATATTAAAATGTTTGTTGTTTTGATGAAATTTTTCTAATACAGTTGTACCTCATACTTTGCTTGAGTTCAAATGCAGTATTTACCTTGGAGTTCAAATGATGCTTCAAAATTTGAACTGCATACACATCGAAAAATGTGCTCAAAGCATAAATGCAATCTGTTGTGTCCGAGTCATCTCTTGCTCTTGTGTTATGCTTGTGTGTTTTAATGCTTTTTCACTTTATTTTTGGCATTTGGTTGTACATATTGTGTGTTGTTCATTGATTTTTATTAATTTCTTCCTGCAATTTTTATTTGTCAACAGCTTTTGGGCACTCTGTTTTGTATCCTTTAGTTCAACATTTCCTGAACAGATCTTATTGGTTATATCTGTGCATAAAGCAGAATCTTAACAGACTTTAAACCACATTTGACATGCTTGAAGTTTAGGAGCATCTTCCCCATACACATTACTTTCCCTGCCCCTTTTTATTGTTTGTATGGTGTTATATCCTTTTTAAAACTCATAAAGCATAATATGTCCAATATGCTTTTTATCTGAAGACATTTCAACTTGATTTTATTCAAACAAAATGTAAGAATTTTTACTTTAAACCCTTTACATTTTGTTTGCTTTTAAACAAAGAATAAAATCTCACACTATCTATAATATGTTGAATTTCACAACTGTTATAATTAAATCATACATCTATGTTAAGATGTTAAGTGTTTACATATTTTATGGTTTTTGTGTTTTAACTTATTATTAGGGAATTTAATTGTATTATTTTTACCTTAAATTATGGTATTTGCTGTTTTAAGTGTATTGAAATGGGTATTGTTCAGAGGTCTGGGAATGGATGAATTTGCTTTCCGTTATTTTTATTGGGAAAAATTGATTGACTGAACAATTCAGAATTTGAACTATCTCTCAAAATGAATTAAATTCAAAGTATGAGCTGTCACTGTACTTGACTGTGGAAGTTATTTTAAACTAAATAATACAAATTCTTTTGATAGTGTTTCAAATAGATCTCAAAAATTTTTTCTAAATTAATTTATGTTGTATGCAAAGATATAACTGGTAACTTCATTTTTTAAATTTCAATTACATTTGTTCAGTATATGGCTTTGGTTTTATTCACTAACACTGATTTCATTAAGAAATAAGATCATCTTGGTCATAGATTATAGCTCACAAAACACTAATTTTCTTAAGATTGAATGATATAGAAAAATGAGAATATGCAAAAAAACAAAATCTAATTTATAAAGTTACCAGTAATTTTAACAAAAGCATCAATATGAATATTTAATATTCTGAGATATAGTTTTAATTTGATCTGAAAGTCTTTGTTTTTTGAAATATTGCTATAATTAAAATATTTTGTTTTTATTAGTAAATATAAAAATAACTAAGTTAATTTAATTTTCTAAAAATCTGACTTTTAATGTCATTCAAATTGAGTATAGCAATAAATCATAAAATATATATATATATCCCAAGAAGATTTATTATTACTACTGTAGTATAAAACTTGCATCATCAAAAGTGATGCTGTTCCTTTCCTATTGGTTTTTATTTTGGGATTATATCCTGAAATGTTGGCTGTAAGCTGTGTGGCCTATATATGAAATCATCTTACCAATAAAGTCAACATTTCTGTAAAAGCTTTGCTTTTGCAACTTATATATGAGAGCAGACCATAGGCAAGGTTTTTAGGGTATTATTAATTTTATTTAATTTATGAAATTACTGAAATTTCTTTGTTGTGTGTGAAATTTTTTATACACAGTGGTTTTGTTTACTTTTACTTATGTTTCTTCCAGAACAAAGCCGGAGAGATGATTTAGAATCTCTAGGATATGTTTTAATGTATTTCAATCGGGGAAGTCTTCCATGGCAAGGTCTTCGGGCAGCTACCAAACGTCAAAAATATGAACGAATTAGTGAAAAAAAAATGTCAACACCCATTGAAGAATTGTGTAGAGGATTTCCTTGTAAGTTTAATATATAATTGTTTGATTTATAGAAGATAAACGAGGATTTAAACAGAAAGAAGCAATTAGAAAGGAAGGTTATAATTATGCAACTAATCTGTCGTGGATTTTTAGCTCGAAACCAAATAATTACCCATATCGTTATTACTGAACAAGTATTGTATTAATTTAAAATTATTAAGGTTTAAAATAAGATTTAAATAGTGTATTTTAAACAATTATTAGATTACGATTAGGGGCAGTCTATTAATTAAATATATAGTTCTTTAAACACTTGAAACATCCCTCTCTCCTAATGGCGCGTTATCCTATAGGCAAAAAAGGACAATTGCCTGGGGTCCCACACTAATTTAAGAAAATACTTTTCCCAAAAGTCAACAATTCACATGAGGCTCCCTAATTTAAATTCGCCTTGATTCTAACCTAATAACCAACATTGAAATTATTTCAATAAGTTCCCTCTTTAAAGATGTTAGAATAGGAAACTAAATGTGAACGTCTTCATTGTAACATGCATTTTTTTAAAATTAAAATTAATTTAATTACAATAGAATTNTAATATATAATTGTTTGATTTATAAAATTGATATCAGATAAAATTTGTTGAGATTAAAATTTTAAAAAGTCATATCTTTTAGATTAAATATATATTGAATTTATAAATTTTTATATATATTGAATTTTTATAAATTAAAAAATTTTTTTTTTTTGGTCTAAACAAATTTCTGTATAGAATTTTTGCATAATTATATTAACAGATTCTGATTTCACATAAATACAAAATGATTTAGAATCTGATCAGTAAATGGTGAAAAAAGCAAAAAAAGTTCAAATATTTAACATTTGTTTAAATTAATTAAATAACAGTACATCCTGGTCCCATTGTAGGAATCTAACTTTGATACATAAATTTTCTTCTCTCTTTTGGTAACAATTGGAACATATCCATTCATTTTTATACAGAAAACTCTCTTGCATTTTTGATACAAAATAATCTTATATAAAATTAAAAAGAAAGAAAAAAAAAGATTGTAAATATTATAAATACAGTAGAGCGTCGATTTCATGGTACCAACTGGGGATGACTTTAGTGCTCTGTGGCTCTCAGCAAGTTATTGCTTTCACATTGGCAGGTCAAGTCATTTTACATCTAATTATTGAATTTGCCTTATTGTAGCCAGATAACATGGCAGATCATTTGGCATTTGTGCATTCAGTTNAAATTTATTGAAAAATATAAAAATAATAAAAAATTATACTTCAGATATTAATTTAGTATCAAAAACATAAAATATTTGAGTAGCCCAAGACATAGCCAAAGATTGAAGTGCCACAGCACTGGCGAAAATTTAAATTTGCCGACTGGAATTCTTTCGGATGATTGACTTTCGGAAAATCGACGCTCTACTGTATATTATAACATTATTTATTACAGAATGTTTAGAAGTTAAATATACTCTTTGACAAAAATGGTGGTATTGGAATCAAATGAAACTTTATTAGTGCAAACATAATGAAAATGGTAATGAAGTGATTGCAATATAACAGAGACAATTTCCTGTGGAAATAATGGTAAAATTTAAACCTGTAGTACCATTTTGAACCTCTTGTCTGGATAAATGCAGTGATAAAGTCAGGCATGGAAGAATACAGGCACCATATGCTATCCTGTAATAGATTTACATACAGATTCTTTACAGTTATAGATGGCTAAAGTTGGTGTCGTAACTCATCCCACAAAAGCTTGGTATGTGATAAATCTGGAGACTGAGCTGGTCATGAAGTGAGACAGTTTGACACATTCCTGGGAAACTATATGTGCAGATATTATCTTGCTGGAAGGTGGCTTTCAGCCCTACCATGAAAGGCAACACATGAAAATGCAAGATTTCTTAATATACTGTTATGTTATCAATATTCCTTTCACTAAGGATGACTGACTGATTCATACAAGATGGCTTTTCAGATCTTTTGAAAAGTTAAACATCTTCTAATCATATAGATGCCTAACTTTTTCAGCCAGTTAGAAAAAATATTACCTGTGCTTTCTTATTTCATGCATATTATTTAGACAACATTTTGGCATTGCAAAAGCACTCAAGGTTTTAATATTTTTCAATTAAGAGTTTTTATTGCTTATCTTCTTTTAAGAGAAAAAAAAAAAAAGCAAGGAACATGTAAATCTTAACCTCTGTAACATAAATCACCTTTGAACACTGTTGTTTTGTCCAGCAAACTTTTAAAAAATAAACCCCATTTATTTTGCATTGAAAATGTCATTTGGGTTAAGATAAATTTTTCAGCTACTTTGTGCAATCCTCCTCCATGCACTTTACATCATCTGGATACTTACATTTTCACTTTGTTTTTTGTCTGATTCTATTATTATTATATTATTGATGCTTTCCAAAATTCTCTTCTTGTTTTTCAGGTTTGTAGACAAGATAAGTGAAATGTTAAAATTACTCTTTTGCAATTTGATTTTTCTTTTCACTTTTCTCCAGTCTTTATGAAGGATACTTTTTTCTGCTATTGACAAAATATAAATAGTAAACAAGAGAAAACTAAATATCTATTTCAGAATGAAAAATGGTCAGTACATTGAATGGTCACTCTCAGGAGGAAAATGTCAACATGCAGTTCAAAATTTAAACATTTATACTGTAATATATAAAAATTTCAAATAAGGAGACACTGTAATGTATAGAAACTCATAATTTGATTGGCCAATAAGTTAGTAAGTTGTCAAATCACACACGTTTGTTAAATTTAACAATATCAAATATCTAAAACTTTTATAAAACAATGCTAAGATTTGATTTGGTTAATTTAAGCTCAAATTGTTAAAATTTTGAATTTTATGTTGTTCAGTTGAAGTCATAATTCTATATGATACCAACTTTGTGATATCATTTGCAACCCTTGAAAACATAAAAGAAAGCACACAAAATTAAGATTTAAGTCAAAGAAGTTTCAAGATTATAAGAAACACAACACATTAAGTCTATGGGAATTAAATCAGAGCAAAAATAAAATTTAAGATCTGGAGACTATATTTTCCTAATTCAAAATTTAAGTTAAGGAAATTTGATTTTATTGAGTGTCTATTGGATTTTCTCTGATCAATAAAAACATTTATTTTATCAATTATTATTTTTTAAAAGCTAACTGGACTTCAGATTTATATGCTATGAGTGTTATGAGTACAGTGGAACCTCGCTTAACGAGCACCTCGCACAACAAATTGTAAAAAAAATGACTCACATAATGAGTGACGATAAGAGGGGAAGTCTTGGATTGTGTGCATGCTCCATCAGTCTGTGCTTAGCACTTACTCCACTAGCATCTTAGTATCACTCGTGATCAAACATTTTTCCAAACTTGTGTTCACACATATTACATATAAACATCGACAACCGTATAATAAACACGCCAAACAATATGCCAAATTCTGGGGCTAGGTAAAAGTTATAATTAAATACAGTAGAACCTCGATAATCCGGCACTCCGGATAACTCGGCCACACCCTGGCAGGGCAAAAAAATCCTTAGTTAATTAATTTTCATTATAGACAGCTTTATAAAAGCTCTCAAAGTATTTTTCTGAGGTCTGTCTTATCAGGTAAATTACTGTACACAGTGTATTCTTTAATTTTCATTTTCATGTAGTAAAGGCTCTATGCCTTCATAAAGGACATACTTTTCCTTTGTTTAAGGGTATTTGGGCAGTTTATTTTCTGTTATATTCTCAAGTAAACAATACATACAAGTACAGTACAGTATTTTCTGAGGAAACACTCGTACTTATTTTTTTAACCCCATTCCCGATAACCCGGAATTTTCACAAACTCGGCCACCCTTCGGTCCACATTAGGCCGAGTTTTCGAGGCTCTACTGTATTAGAAATTAATTAATTTGACTAGAGGTAGGCAGTTATGCTTCCATCTTGTATTAAATTTAATAATTAAAAATAGGATGGAAGCATAACTGCCTACCTGTAGTCAAATTAATTAATTTCTAATATCTAATTATAACCTTTACATAGCCCAAGAATTTGTCATATTGTTTGGCATGTTTATCAGACATATTATCTGTGTGTGTGTTTTTTTTTGTTGTTGCAAATCAAATTTGCATTCCAGGTTGGTTCATTCCATGCCAAAAAAAATTATGATGATTCACGCTCCTTAACAATGTATATTATATAATTTTCTTTGAATAAACATTATACATAAAATATTTGAGAATTTTTTCGGCATGGAATGCATTATCGTATTTTACATTAATTTCTATGGGGGAAAATTGTTTCGCTTAATGACTGTTTCACATTACGAGTAAGATTCTGGAACGAATTATGTTCATTAAGCAAGATTCCACTGTATTTTTTAAAATCATTATTAACTGAGTTCAGAAGGAAATGTGTAGCAACATCAAACTTAAGAACCCAAATTTTTTTCCTGGGAGAATGCGATTTAAAATCTGCAATTAAAAAAACTAGACACATCAAAAAAGTGCTAAATTTGAAGGAAAAAATTAAAAATTATACTCCTATTTTCATTTTGTTTTAAGGAGTAAAAACTATCTTCATTCAGATTTAGCATAGTCCATCTGTTGTTCTCTTTGAATTTGAGAAAGAAGCAACACGAAAGAGCCTATTTAAAAGTGAACTAGAAAATCAAGCATTTTTGTCAAACATCTTATATAAAAATATATATATATATAATAACAACAAATCATAATACAGTAGAGCGTCGTTTATCCGAAATCTGGTTATCCGAAACGTCCGTTATCCGAAAGCATTCCAGTCGGCAAATTTAAATTTTCGCTAGTGCTGTAGCGCTGCAATCTTCGGCTATTTCTCGGGCTACTCAAATATTTTACTATATTGATAACTAAATCAACATCTGAAGTATAATTTTTTTATTGTTTTTATATTTTTCAATAAATTTATTTTGTTTGTACAAAATAAAAAAATAATTTTTAACGATACAATAGTCTTCATTAGGCTTAACATCGATGAAAATTCAACGTGAAGCGATATGCAACGGAGAGAAATTTCAACATGGGATAAATTAAGATATTTTTTCGTACATGATTCGTTATCCGAACCACCCCAGTCCCCAATTGATTCGGATAAATGATGCTCTACTGTACTATAGTAGTGTGTGTTATCCCCAATGCATATACTAAGAGTTCATATAGTGTCACTGAGCATAATTTCAGAAAAAAGCTTTCAAAGCCATGGATTAAGGCATTGCTCTTACCTTGTTCTGTGAAATCAAGGTTTATTTCAAGGAGAAATATAAAATGAGATATGTGGAGGTGTTATACATCTATAAAATGCTGCTATTACCTATTACAATATCTTCTATTCTTTATAAATTTTAAGTAGTAAATGACTATGGTCTAGTTTTTTCTAAAAATTGATTTGCATGTTGATTCTCTGACATTGAGCAACACAAGATTATATGAAATACCATATTTACTCGCATATAAGATGAAGTTTTTATTAATTTTTCATTGCTTCAAAAACCTATGTCATTCTATACGCACGAGGAAAGGATTCTTTGCATTTTTGCAAATAATTTTTGTGAACTGTGTATTTGCATTTATTACAGGATGCTCACCCCTTGTGTTTGAAAACAAGTATTTTATCTGGGTCATTTGAATCATCCTTTTGTATTGTCAGGAGTAAAGATGAATAGCAATAGGAAAAGCAAAACTTTTGAATTGAATTCCAAAATAAGATTTCAAAAACAGACAAGCCCGATATAAATTTTAATCCATTTCCATGTGAAAGTAGACGATTATTCGGAAATCTGAATTCAGAGAAACTCATAAGTTTAATCAACCTTTAAGAATTGGCAAAAAAGGTTCCAATTGTCCATCTTTACCTGAACAAATTATGTAATCGATTTTACAAGATTTTTCCTTAAAGTTTAAAATGCCAGTAATTTTTGCAGGACAACATGTACATTTGATATTTTATTTGTGATTAAACGAAATAAAATTAGAAATGTATTAATATATCTAATTTTCTTTATTTTGCTCTTTAAAATCACACCTCGTCCTATAAGCAAGTAAATAAGGTAAATTTATGAATAAAAGTTCATATTACAAATCAGTGAAGTCGATTCTAATTAAATATTTTTACTATTATTATTTTAGATTTTCTTATTGATATTTTTCATTTTTTTATTTCCCTCTTTGCTAATTCTGAATAACTAGTGTAAAATTTATGAATTAACATTTATTTATAATACTGTGATGCTCTTTTTCTCTTTCAGCTGAATTTTCAACATATTTGAATTACTGCAGATCACTTAGATTTGATGAAAAACCTGATTATTCCTATTTACGGCAGTTGTTAAGAAATTTATTCCACAGACAAGGTTTTACATACGATTATGTCTTTGACTGGAATATGCTAAAATTTGTAAGAGAATCAAAAACTTGTTTATGTAAAAGTATTAGCATTTACATTAATTTGATGAAATTTCAGATACAGCTTTTAATTTTCAGGGTGGTAATCGAAGCCAGCAAGAACAGCAAGATGAGAGAGACCGAAGAGAACGACATCATTTGCACGGCAGTACAGCTACACGTGGTGCTCTTCAGGCACCAACAACTGCAAGCAGTAGTCGTTTGCGAGGTGCTCCAGATTCAGCTAGTCCTGCAACAGGTAGGTCTCTGCCACACCATCTTGCTCCACCAACCAATATGACACCAGTATTGAATGCACCTCCAACTGCAGCTTCAGCCGCCATGGTAGTAGGTGCTTCTCATTCAGTTGCTCCTTTACCGTCCTCAATGCCGCTAGGAGTTACCATTCGTTCAAGAACAAGGTCTACACCCCGAGCAGCCATATCAGCACACGAAGGACCGGCCCAGAGATGACAGGGGTTTTTACTGATGTGCTGTGAAGTTATTAACCATTCTGAGCAACCTATTTGGAGACATACTGAAATGAAACAAGAAAGGGTAAACCGTAAAGAGTAATAATGTAAATGTTGGTGTTTATAAGCTTGCAGATAAGGATAGACAATGCTAGTCTAACTAGCTTCTAATGGGATGCATTAATAGATGACTGAAAAATAATAAAATTGACGACATTTTGTTTCAAGTCCAGTCAATATATGCGTGCTAGTTCTGGATTAGTTCTTTTAAAAGTATATCATGGGCAAAACTGTTCAAATATGATAGCCCAATTTTCCCCAGCCATGACAGTTGAATTTTATGGTGCACAAATATTGAACAAGTGAGTCAAACGATACTCATTTGAGGATGGGAGATATAATGGCAATTTATTTCTGCAGATTAACCTAAAGACAATTAAAATATTTTCCCTCGTGCATTGTGCAAGCTGATAAATCAGCTTTTAGAAATTGTAGAAAATGTTTGATTTTCATTGTTCCTTTTTCTTTTTAGATTCATTGCCTTGTCATGTGTCAACAATGCAATGTTACATTCATCCATAATGAACAGCCTAGTTTTTACAAATATCAGGAACACCTTCTATTATAAAACTTTGTATATTCAATGCACAAACTGAACTCAGGCTGTAGTCAAGCCATTATACATTTTTTATAGCTGTCTTCCTGTACAGTGTGCTTGGTCAAGGTCTGTTTTGTTTTTGAATGCAAGTGTACTAATTTAAGTTCCTGTATAATGAAACTTACTGCAGAAGAAATCTTCCCAGTTAGAACAATAACTTCTAATTAATTATACAATGTATGAGTTGGTATTTAGTAAATATAAAATAATAGCAACTTAAAGTCAGGCAGCAATGAAAATACCAGCCAAATAAAAATTAGTCCATAGCAGTAAACTTGCAGTGAAAATTAGAGCATAGAATTCCAAAGTGATCAATTCTTTGTAAAATACTTAGTATGTTATAGAAGCAAACTAAGTTGCCATGTATTTATTCATCAAGATAACATTTTGCACAATTTCAGTAATGGTATGTTGTTCAGTGTAAAAAAAAAAACAGTTGAAGATTGTGGGAATATTTGAAATTTTTTAAATAACATTGATGTTTAATTAACAAAGAAAATCATAAAAGTTTCTGTCTGAAATTGCTATAGGTGCTTCTCTATCCCAAAACAGATGATTAATTTTTTTTAATGAAGAAGCTGCACTTCAAGACAGGGAATTTATCTTGTATATTTCATGATTTGTAAAACCAAAAATATAATTAATTTTTTTTTCCTTCTCTGACAGATCAAACATGAAAGGATGCACTTTTTGCTTAACAAAATTATTTCTATAAGACCAAAAAGAAACATTTTCCAACATTAAAAAAAAAATCATTTGTGCTTCTCACAGCTTCGATTTACCAACATTTGCTTGTAATAAGTGAGGTAAATATTCCAAAGTCAACTTTTTGTGAAGACAAAGAAATGTGCCTAATTTTGATAGAAATCTATAGAAATTTGCAAGTTGTTTATAATTGAAAACTGAATTAAATAATTTCTCAAAAATAAAAAAAAAAAGAAGAAAATACCTAACCTTTTTGGAATAATTTTGCAGTCAGTGCTGCAGGTTTATGCATCTCTTATCTGCAATCTGTAAACTCATTTTATTATAGTTTATTAACAGAAACTTTTGTCACCATTTGAAATTTCTCAATGTCCGAATCCTGGTATTTGTACATTATATTGACATGATAGGATATTTCTACTATCATTGTTATGAAGTGATGTCACCAGTGTAACTGTGATTGTAGAGGTTTAAATAAAATAAACAAAATATGCTTTGAGTTTTATAGCTTTTAATTGAGAAAAAAATGCATAATTGACAGTTTCATGCTTTAATGTATGGTAAAAGATCCTTTGTGATTGTATCTGCAATTCTCATTCCATCTTCTGTAGGTGCTAGTCTCCTATTTAAACAAAAGTTTTAATCGTAATATTTATGTACAAATACAGTTTTTGTATTTATTAAATCCAGTAATTAATCTATTAAAATAGTGTGAATTTTTTAATGTTCAGTTCAATAATTATTTCTCTCTAAAAACTACTTACATTTTGTCAAAGTTCAAAAAACCTCCATAGACATACGCTCTCAGAATTTCTGATGTCTTGAATGTATCTGCTAAACTGATGCCACTTGAATACTTGCACCATAACTGAAAATTGTTACATCAATAAGATGTGAATGGTAAAAACTATTCTTCAATTTTACTGACAAGGGATCCATCCAGACTTAACAATGAAGTCAGAGGATAAAATTTTGAGAGGATAGGTGAAGTTCCAGACTCTAACAGAGATGACACCAAAGCTATATCTTCTCTCTGCTTTTAACATTTTTCAGGCAATGGAGTAAATTTTCTGTGTGTTGGATAGCAATTTTATTTTTTTAAGGTAACTCTTTTAGCAATAAGGCAGTAATATTAATATCATCTCTTCCAACTCTATTATTATTAATCTCTTCCAACTCCAGTCACTTAAATAGTGATGATTATGACGTGCTCATTGTGAGGAACCTATTATACTCATGCTATCATAGAAACTACAAAACCAACACATGTTGTTAGCATTTTTCATGGCAATGACGATTGTCAAGTCTGATAGTTCCTTTGTAAGAGTCTATGGTTAGTATTCTAAAAATATCAGGAAAATATTTGATTAATAAGGATAAATATAATTTTGAATTAAAATTTATTTCAAAACTAAATACTTATGCATGTAAAATTGAATGATAAAAATAAGATATTTTCTTTGGCTTTGCCGTTACTTATAGTCTCTTCCCAAGAATGACATTATGTCTCGGAGAGCACGAGCAACGTATGTGCAAATCCCGCACTCGCACCTGTTTGTAGAAACAGTCTCAACATTTCATGTTTTCTTTTGACCCAGTTCTCAGTCTCCTGACTACCTACAAGTCTGGTTTATTTTGTGTGTGCATAATTTGGGCACCAAATACTGTGTGCCAAATTGCAACTCCTGACATGTACTCTTTCATACCTCTAAAGGTGTGCAGCCATTGACAGCAGTACAATTTTAATAGGAAATAAATTTAACATATTAAGAATTAAGATTTGTACAAAACTATATTTTTTCTATTATAACTAGCATTTAACACATTAAGTGCAATGTGTTGCAGAAATTGAAACACACTACATATTGAAATCTGAGATATGTTACTTTGGAGCAAAACATTAACCATATAAACAATGGAAATAAAGTGCACTTGGTTCAGTAAAGTTTTTTAATAAAAAAATAGTAGGAATTTAATTTTTTCTCCCCATAAAATATGAAAAATAAGCAAAGTTTACCTTTTCTAACATTTTTCTTGCATAATGTGTGTTTTATATTTTATGATATTGTACTTATTCACATTCAAATATTAAAGAAACAGACTTCATTTTCTCTCAGTGAACATAAACAGTAAAAAAACAGTACTGTAAGTATTTTATTTTGATTATTCTATTTCTCTTGGTCCATTTACGCAACCTTAAATGTAGTAGAAGTTAAAATCAAAAGCTGATAAGCATACAAAATGATTGGGGAAAACACTCAGCCCACGTGTTGCAATTTTGCAATCTGCCTAAAAATTGATATAAAAATTTTTTTAACTGCAAGATAAAATGATTTTAAATAGCTATATTTGTGCTATTTTGTTAAAAAAAAAGGACCATGGCCATGTTGATATTTTTTATGGCAATGTGTTAAGTTTATAGCTCAAATATTTTCAAATTCATTAAAAATTAAATGAGATAACATTTTGTTTTTGTTTATGGATATCAATATATTACATGTTTGCTAAGCCCATTCATTGTTATACTATTTATATTGCTAACCTGAAAAATATGGCTAGTATGCTAAGGATATCAAGAAAATTTATTCCTATATATAATTAACATCAATTAGAAAGTTTTTTTAATAATACTACAGTATATAATGTGTCAAAATGTCATAATTTTCAAAATTTTGGTTACATTAAAAACAAAGCATGTATATATTTTTAATTCTGATTGCTAAAAATTTATCTCTTTCACACTGAAAGTAGCATTGTTCAGACTATTGCATAGTGATTTTAAACTAATATAAAAGAAATATTTGGAATTTTTTAAAATACAACATATCTTTTCAATTATAGGAACCAATTCCAAAATAGTTTTCAATCTGTTAATCACTCATCAATTAACCCTTAACTGGTTTTATGGGGGCCGTGCGGCCCCCACACGTCATATTTTTACGATTTTCTAAAAATCTAAATATTTTTATGCAGCTGCCATTTTATGTAATCTTATTACGTTGCGACTCTTATCGAGTGCCAAATGTTCAGCCCTGTAGCACTTACAAGGATGGAGCTACGTACCTTCTGGGGGCCGCGCAGCCCCCACGATACCAGTTACGTTGGTTTTTTGTGGAAATGTGTTTTTATGTTTTTTTTATTTTTACAATTATTTTGCAAAGATATCTCAATCTTGCATCAAAAATTCAAAATGATTACCAAAGAATCATTTGAACTGCTAATAGATGATAATATTATACAAATTGCTAGATCAAGCCGAAATCTCCTGAAAAGAGT